ATTCTTTCTGCTTATATTTCTGAATTTAACTTTATTTTATGGCCTTCTAGGCATTCAGACCATTGGGCATAGTGATTTGTATCCATTAGGTCTGTGTGTGTGTGTGTGTGTGTGTGTGTGTGTGTGTGTGTGTGTAGGTGTGTAGCGCTTTTTATCTACAGTATATGACATGGTTTCTAGTTCTTAATTTCGAAGTTGTAATAATGTCACCTGTCAGTTGGACTTGATTACCTGGTATCTGCCATTCTTCTTTTAAGAAACCTAAATTGTACACGGTGCACTCTCAATTTAGGAAAATGAACGATTGAAGCAAGAGGTCCTTGAAAAGAGCGGTCGGATAGAAGAGCAGAACAACAAGATCAGTGAGCTCATTGAGCGCAATCAAAGGTAATAGCCGGTACGGGGCAGTGACTCGGACGAACAAGAGTGGCAATGCTTGAGTTAAATAGACCTGTTTGATCAGGGAAGTTTGTGTGGATTTCTGTTATACTGTTTTCCTGACATGTGTTCTTTGGTAAAAAGAACACAGTGGGCCTGTGATGCAAAGCCGACTTGTGTCTGCTTCACATTTACTGCTTTGGGCTCTTTTACTTATTCTTGCTCAACTCGAGGTTCCTCATCTGGGGTTAATACTCAGAAAACTCAGATGTCAACTCTTCTCCTTTCTGTGTGGGCTGACTGTTTTATCCACTGGAGCGTCACCATCTAAAATCCAAGTGCTCTGTGGGTGTTTTGATACTTCTGAAGGTTTGGGGGACCCTTGAGAGATGTTGCGTTTCCCTTAAAAAAATAAAAATCCCTCCTCCCATATTCCTCTTTGCCAGTGTCTCCTGTCTCCCATATGGTGGCAGCAGGCATGGTGGGGGCTTTCTTTTCTCCACCCTTTTCTTACAGCCTGCTTGCTTCTTTCTCTTTCCTTCTTGATTCCTCCTCACCACACACCTTCAGAGCCTCCCTTTGTTACACCGAGCAGGTTCCTCTGGCAGGTTCCTGCCTCCAAAATCCACTACTGCAGATCCAAGGAAAGCAGACTGCTTCCACGTTGTCAGGGTGTGGCCACAGAGCAGTGGGTTGTGTGGGCTGTGGCGATCTCAGGTGGTTGAAGAGTGTGTGTGTGCGTTTGTATTACAGATCTGTTGAGCAGAGCAACCTGATGATGGAGAAGAGGAACAGCTCACTGCAGACAGCCACAGAAAACACACAGGCAAGAGTTTTGCATGCAGAGCAAGAGAAGGTAAACTAACCGGGAGAACCGCACAGGTCAGGAAGGTTAGAGCTAAGGAGTGACCCTGTGTATGTACTTAACCCATCTGCTTTTGCCATCATTGGGAAGAGGATTAGAAATGCCCCACCACATTGTAATAAATATCCACCTTCGATTTATGGTTTATACTACCCTGTTTCCCCCAAAATAAGACAGTGTCTTATATTAATTTTTGCTCCCAAAGATGCACTAGGTTTTATTTTTAGGGGATATCTTATTTTTCCATGAAGAAGAATATGGTACACATTGATTGTTGAAAAAAGGAGATTTATTACCTGTATACGGTACGGTAGTAGTTGTCATCACAAACCAGCATAACCAGACAAACTGAATCCAACAGTATCAAGAATTGCTTGTTACTACCATTATTTCCATGTACAACAATCTCTGGTACACTTACTCATAATCTATGGTACATTTACTTGCACTTCCTGTCTGCTCCAGCTGCGCTGCAGTCAACAGAGACCTGCGCGCCAGCACTCGCCGTTAAGGTCCAGAGTCCAGAGTTACGGTACCTTTGGGGGGCTTTCTTATCAGGGAGGCCTTATTTTCAGGGGGATGCCTTATATTTCAGCGAGAGGCAAAATTGTAAGTAGGTCTTATTTTGGGGGGATGTCTTACTTTCGGGGAAGCACGGTATGCTTTGTCATAATTGGACTAGAAAAGAACCACTGGTCTTAGTCATTTGATCAATGTGAGAATGACTTAGCCTATCTAAAGCAATATTTATTCTGTTGACAAAATCTAAGAAACATTCCTTTGTGTTAGGTAATAGACATGTAGGTTGATTTTGCAACTTCATCATGTGGCAGTTGAAGTACTCATTTTGCCTTCAGGCATTCCAGAACCAGGAAGTTCTACCAGCCCCAGGGGCCTCTGCTGGTGCAACGCTGCTGGATTAGAATTCTGATAGACCCATTCTGACAGCCCCCTTTGCTACTCTTCTCAGTGACATGGAGTTTCTCTTGCTTGGCCGGCACTCTTCAGCTGGGAGTTCTTCGCCTTTTATCTGTTGCTTCTCAGATGTTGAAGTCATTTGCAGTTTTAATTCAGATGTCCTCTGAAAATGTGAATTGTTGAGTGGAGCATACTTTTGAACCTGTGGAGTTTATTCGATTTCTCCATGTTCTGATGAAGGTGTCTTATCTCTTCTGCGCATCTTCTGTTCCCTTAGCCACAATATCTTTTATTAAAACCATACATCTTTTATTTTTTCAAGTCATATATCTTTGATCTCTTACTTCATCCCTAGTTGTGGCTGACTTCGAATGCCTGCATCAAAATAGGCCACTGTGCCACCAGGGCTCCTTTAAGACACATAAAGCACCATACTTTTTT